AATTGTTACGGCCCTCAGCGAGAGGGATTTTGTATTCCGAGTTCAGTTTGGGGAATGACATATGGTTTGCTCTCTGATGAGGCTTGGAGGCTCTGTAGGATAAATAGCAAAAAAATCAGGAAATTCTGAAGTCCAGCTCCCAGCTAACTTGGCCATGCTGTGGGCCTTGGACATCTCATGCTGTAACGCTTTATGACATGAACAATAACAGATTAACATCCCCTTTTACTGGAAAACTTAAAATAGAAGAGTTGAAGTGCTTAGAGGCGGGTTGGATGGAAAGCCAAATCCCATAAACGTGGCTTGGCACCATGAGGGTTTCATTGACCTTGGCGAGGTGTGATTGCTTTCCGTTCACAACAAGGCATCGGTGTTTGCAGAGATGTGGCACAAGCTTGGGTAGGACTAACATCGCAGTGCTGCTGTCAGAGGCTTTGCTGTTCTTGAGCGTTTCTTGGATTACTTAATGGTGAAGCCTTAGGCTGCATCAGCAAAATGGTCTTTCCCTTGCTCTCCACCTGGGATTGCACAAATAGCAGAGTTGTTCTTTAAGATGAAGGGTTGCTGTAAAGACGTTTAGAATGAAATCCACTCATTGTTTCAGAATCATTCAGCAAAAAAAAGCACTTGAAAATCTTCCAGTATGGACTGTGTCTGAAGACAGATGTCATTTCTGGTTTCTGTGGCTGTTTGGAAAGGAGGTAGGACTAAATGCTCCTACTTTGGATGATTGGGCAAGTACAACAGGGGGATGGGAGAGCTGTTTCTTCTCAGGAGTGAGGCATTTCTGATGCTTTAGCTGCTTGAGGTGCTGGTTGTTTTTAAAAGGGGTTTTGTTTGCTCCCTTGCCTAGATCTGTATTGACACCTGTATATGTATGATGTCTGTGCAGCTGTATGTTATCACTGAAGGACATAGTGACAAATAAGTAAAAGGATGAGGAACTGATTGGAAATGAAAAAAGCGCAAAAATAAAAATGAAACCAAATTTGATGCTCTGTTTTAACAATTGGGATTTTGCAAACCATAAACTGCTGGCAAAGAATGAGATGGAGTTACATGAGACCTACTATCCTGAGATGCGGAAGTTGTCCTGCATAGAGGGTGACCCATACCAGTTGGATATATTTGCAAAATAGTCCACAGTATAACCCCAAATCCCACCAAAATGCTGGAGGAGATAGGGTGATGCAGGAAATCCTTTTCCTATCCCTGGGGAGCATCCCACAGGGTGTGTTGCTGGTTCGGAGCTAGAAGGTGCAAGCTGCTGTTCATGTCAGGGACCTGTTGTGCTGAACTCTGGATCCAGGATCTTTAGGTTTTGCTATGTCCAGTATGGACGTGTGGATGATCAGAATGAAAGGAAAAAAAACCCCAGGTTGTCATTTTGTGTATCATGTTTTTGTATGCAGTAATAATATATTAATAGTGAGAAAAAAGAGATTTCCTATTACTTTGGTGAACAGAAGTGGAAGCCTTGAAGTTTTCACGTGGGAATGGGACTAAAGACATCTCTGCATTCGTTTTTGTGTGGTTGTGATTGTTATGGAAATGCATTTGGGGGTGGAACGACTTGGTTTTAGGTGACCTTCTTCAGTGAGTGTTACCAAAGGAGGCATATGTTACCAATTTTTCTTGAGATTTATGAAAGAGAGTCTCTCTTATGGTATATACAACTGGACTTTCTTATCTCAGCAAAGTTAACTGCTTGAGGGAATATACTCCTTAGGGTAGGGATACTGTGAGAATGGATTTCAACGATGATCAAATAGGTTTTATCTCATGAAATCGACACTGCATGAAATTTTATTTTAGAGTATTGATGCTCTGCTGTGGGCCAGATGCAGCCCAGGCTGCACCACCTTGGCCACACTCCAGCAGAGCATCCTGTTTCAGCAGAGTGGTTAAGTCTGAGCTTATCTTTAAGCAGCAGCTAAATCCTGGTGGTTTCACTGCTGCTCTGGACCAAGGGACGGGTCAGCTGCAAGAGCCTGTAGCACGCTGCCCTTCAGGATTTCTTTCCCTGGGTTAGAGCTGGGCCTGTTGCTGGGGAAGTGATGGAGCGGTACACGCTTGGGCTGACTTTATTTGTGGGGTTTGTGCTCCCTCTGATCCCTGCATATCCAATTACTGCTGGGCTTGGACAAGGTGCTGGGGTTGTATGCGATGCTGCCTGGGCAGGAGGAGATGTCATTCCTCTGGGCTGCAGTGTGCCCTGCTTGAGCAGGTAGGACATGTTTAATTAGCTGATTTGGGGCAGGAGACCTGTGCCAAATGCGTGCAGGCATGTTTGTGCCATGCTGGGAGCAGATCACAGTACAGGATGGCTCCATGGGTGCTGCAAGGTCCACCCGAGCACTGCGGCTGGGGCCTCTGTGGTGTGAGTGCTCAAGAGACAACTAAAATAGAGAATTAAAACATGTTTTGGAAAACAGATTGCCTGTTCTGTTTGAAGTTTCCAGGAAAGCAAAGCAACCTGCCCTTCCCCCCGCTTCAGATCCCACCTGTTTTGTCTTTTTTTTTCCCTTTCCTAGAAAAATGTGAAATTCATTAACATGTGGTGAAAGCAATGTAGCGACGTCATCTTGATTTAAAATCTGTTTTAAATCTTAAAATGATGGAGCCAGAATCTTAACTGCAAATAGCCTTGCTTTTGTGGGTACGAGGCAGGCTGTCAACGTTTTACTTGAACATCTCTGCTTTTAGTAGTTTAGCATCCTTTGCAATAATATAGTTTGAAAAGAAAGCGAGAAAATCTGTAGAAAGAAGAAATTAATATTATTCATGTCTAAAGCTGAGTCCTTGCTGTGCTCAGACACAGCCGCGGTGCCTGGGGAGAGGAAGGCAAGCAGAGCTTGGCTTAGGGACAGGGATGAGCTTGGTGGGCATCCCACGGTGCCCTCCTGCAGGTACCAAGGCTGCTTTTCCACATGCATCCTCAGTGTTGGGCCGCAGCTTCTGGGTGCCCTGAGAGGGGCACCCCGTGGTTTTCTGAGAGGGGAAGTATCACTCCCATTAATTGTGCAGTTCTTGTCTGTCACCTCTGTCATCACCTCCAATGTCTGGTTAGACCCTGAATTTCCTTTTCTCAGCCCATGCGTTTAGCTCCTGCAGTCTCCTCCTGACTTCTGACCATAAAATGGGAGAGTTAAATCTCTTTCCCTTCTAGGACTTGGGATTCAAATAGCATAATCCCAGCATTTCATAAAGGCAGCAACATCCCTGTGAACCTCATTGCTGTTGCCGCTGTGTTGAATATAATGTTTTTGTTTGGGTTGCTTAGTGAAGGTCGGGTGCTAAGCAGCACTGCCTGCCCAGAGTTTTCCTCCTGCTGCTGATCTGTGTGTCTACTCGATAACTGGAAACGCTAAAAAGTTCTGTTTGAGGTTTTGACTTTCAGGGAGTATTTGGCTTCAGGATATTTGCCGGTATGGTATGAGATGACATATGCAGGAGACTGAAGTGGGGTTGTTTTGTGTGCTGTGGCCACTTGCTCTTATGTGTTTTAGCCTGGAACAGACCTGAATGAGGATTTATTGACCGTTTCTCATTTGTATTGCCGGCTCCATCCTCGCACCAATATATCAGAATACTAGGTTGGGAGGACAAGTGTGCTGTAATGGGAATACGTTAGGAGGAGAAGTAGTAACCCTGCTAGGAGTAAATGCTGGTACTCTGCCAGTCCCAAAGCTAGGCGTCATTAAATTCCCATGTGATTCTTATTTTATGGTGGGTTTTGTCTCTTACATGCAAGTGGTACCCCGCTTTATAGCTTACCAACAATGGATAGACTTTGACTGGTCTTTGTCTTGGTCAAATTAAATATTGCCTATCGTGTGGTGTGTGTGCCACTCAATAATCTTTTGCTTTTGGTTTCCAATTGATTTATTGTCCTGTGAAGGGGGTCTGCCACCAAAATATTGTCCATCTGGGAGTTTGGAGTTGGCAGCATGGATGTTGTGGTGCAGATGCCTGTGGGGACAGATCATGAAACCATTTCTGGGCTTTCATGTTGTTTGGGTGTTAAGTGCTTCTGGGGGTGTGTGCTGCCCAGCGTCCCCTGAGAAGGTCTGGGTTGTCTGGTCCTCTAACCTTGGACAAGGCAGGATGAGTCTCTGGAAGCAAAAGCAGGACTCCTGTTTTGCTGTTTCTTGGGAGCAGTTAAGATAAGAAACAAGATCTCCAGAGAAAGTTTCTGGTAATACTTTAAGGCTGTGTTGAACTAAGGTTAATTTAATCCATTGGCAGAAAAAGGAGATGCAATGGCTCAAGCGAGCAGACCCCTGCTGATACTGGCCTCATGTCTGGACGTGCTGGTTTGGCTCTCACTGGTCCTTGTGGTCTCACCCCAGGCTATGGCCCTGTTGAGGTGGACAGAGGCGTATCCATGGATGGTCACCAGTGAGTTGGCTTCACTGAAAAGCAGAGCTGGCAAAAAGTTATGCAGGAGAGTGCCCATGTACGGATGACACTTTGATTGTAGTAGATTTTATGCCTGTGCAAAGCTAGAGTCCAGTCTGCTAATGTCAGCATAAATAGTTTTTTTTTCCCTTGACTTTGTACCTGCAGTTAATCGGGGAATTAATGCAGCTGGTGAAGGTGAAGCACAAAATCTCTGAAATGGAGTTGTCCATCCCCTTTCTCCCATACGTGACCGTGTATCCTGGTAGAACCTATGCCTATGCAATGGAGAGCCTAATTTACGGCCAGCGTGACTGACCAGGATTAAATCAAAGCAGGACGGAGCAGAAGTTTTTACTCAAGAAAAGCCCTACAATTTGATTGTAAAACCCCAGGTATGGCTTTCTGTAGAGAGCCAGATCTGGTTAGAGTTACATGTTGAGTGCCTCACACTGTAGCTGTCAAGGGAAGGGCAGCCAAATTAGAGTCCTCTTGTGCCATGTGCCTGTCGGCAGGTTGATATGTGATCTTTCTGTCCAAGATGCTTGTTTTGTCTCATGGTCTGTTCTGTTTTCTCCTCTCTCCCCATTCGCTCCCAGATGTTTGCTGCCGAGGAGAATGTAGATTTTCGGATACATGTGGAGAACCAGACGCGAGCGAGGGACGACGTGAGCAGGAAGCAGCTTCGGCTCTATCAGCTCTACAGCAGGACAAGTGGGAAACACATCCAAGTGCTCGGCAGGAGGATCAGTGCCAAAGGAGAAGATGGAGATAAATATGGTAAGAATATTTATTGGGATCCCCCAGCCTGCAGGTCAAAGGCTTTAGTCCTGGATGTTGGGCTGAGAACCTCTTGGGAGAAAAATAAGAAGAGCAATAAAAGAACAGGATAAAAGGGGAAAAAACCTTTCCAGGTTAAGAACATTTGTTGTGTCGGAGCAGGCTGTCAGCCCAGCTCCCAGCTGCAGGCAGTTCCCACAGTCATGTCATGCTCCAATTTATTAGTGTATGATGGTGCTTGAAGGGAAAAATCTTTTTCTGCCCAATGGATGAGCTCGGTGTTGTCAACTGTAATCCATGCATGGTACCCCGGCTGGTGATGGGGGATGTTCTTGCCCCATCAACTCTGAGTTGGGTGAATCTAGTGCTTCAGTAAAGCACTCTCATCTTTCTGGATGGAGGGATATTGGGTTTGAACTGGAATTAAGCAGACGTCGGAACTTTGAGAGTACCCCAGAGCGTAAGTTGAATCTCAGGGCATGTGGATCCTGAAGGAACTTGAATAATTGAACCATTGCCTGGTTCAAGCACCCTGTTCCACTACTCTCAATGGGATTTGCACACAAGCAACATGCTACAAATGCTGCTAGCAGGCTGAATTATGAAAGACCTCTGTAATTCTGGTACGTTTCAGGATGGTTGTGGCAGGGATGCTTTTGCTCAGGTTGGTTGCTGGAAGGATTTTAGGTTTGTTCAGAAAACTGGTTCTTTTTCTCTTATGGCTGTACAGCCTGTGTGTTCACACGTTGCTGCAGAGATGTGTGTGTGTGTGTGCATTAGCTGGCATCATGTTCATGTGAGGCAGTGGTGAGGTGGAGGTGGGCTACGATAATGGCAGGTCAAACTGTGGGAATGGTTGTTCCCTCGGGGAGCTCCAGGCAGGATGAGGTACACAACTGTGCTTGGCATGGGGGCAGCTGCTGCCAGCGTGATGCCACGGGAGGTGACAGCAGAGACAGCACCTGGCTGGTGTGAAATGAACCCCCACGGCTGTTGTGGAGGGTTGTTGTTGTGTGCGGTTACCCCATCTCTCAGAGAAAGCCCTGCCCTGAGGTCTCATCAACTTTGTCTTTTGTCATGCCCAAATTTCCAGATAAAACAGGAGTGGAAAGTGCCACTTGGCTGCTAATTATTGTGTCATTTTATTGCATTCATCCTCTTAAGGTTTGATATGTAAACCAGTCTCTGTGTGCTGGCTGCTGGCTTCCCAGGAAACGCTCCTGCCCACAGTGACTGTCAGGTAACGAGATGTCGTTTTTCCTCTCCATAAAAGAAGGCAGCATTTACAGTGGGGTGCAGCAGGGAAGTGTGCCCGTGAGCAGCTGACAAGTGCTAATTTATGTGTCAAAGCCCATCTTGTCCCCTTCATACATATGCAATCGTGTCTGAACAACAAATCCTCACACAGGAGCGTGCTTGCTCGTGACCGCTGGTGATGCTGCACAATTGCAGAGCCTCAGATTGCCCGTCTCTGGAGCTCCCCGATGCCCGTGTCTCTTCTTGCCACCAAATCCTCTCCGCTCCTGGTTGCTGGCATCCTCGGAACAACCTGGAGTGCTCTGCTCATTTGCTGACACCCCTCCTGCTCCCTCCCCTGCGCCTCCTAATAAAACTCCTTGAGGCGTCAAGCTGCAAAGCCTTCCCATCCCTATCCGTGCTGCAAGGTTATGGAAATCTGTCGTGCATCGTCTTGCTTGGCACGGGAACACGTAGAGCATGATAATCGGGGAGACAGTGAGGTGGGACACGGAGGTCCAGGATGTGACCACGCAGAGCTCCTAGCTGTGATAATGAAGGGGGGAGAGATGTCGGAGTTACTGAAGTGAGAACCATCTGTGTTACAGCCAAAACTGGATACAAAGGCAATGACACAGGATTCATTATGTGCTGGGAACCCCTCCCCCCGTGGCATTATTATGGAGTAACCTTTGATCAAGATCAGAGAGAGGCTTAAACCAGGTCTGGGGATCTCAACAGTTGCAAACTTTTGATCCACATCTCTGTCTTGCTGGTCGGATTCTCCTCCGGCGCAGGACACCTCTCCTCTCAGGCGGCAGATGGCTGCCTTTCCTCCTGCCCTTTCTCTCTTCTCCCCTCTTCTAGTGCCTATGCTGGCACGGTGGGTCAGAGCCATGCTCAGCACTGGGCAGTGCCACATAGCCCCACTGCTTCTCCACTGTTTTAACCCTGTCCCCACCGGCAGAGATGATGCTGGAGGTGATGTGGATTGATGTCCTAAGGATTGCAGCCTGGGGGGATGAGCAAGAGCCAATGTCGGAGAAAAGAGATGCGGGGAAAGGTGCCCATGAGCTGGCTCCAGCCCCGAATTCTCCCAACAACTCAGTCCCATTAAGAGAAGGTAACATTAGGCAAGGGTGACACAAAGTCACTCTTAATGGGGGACGCTTTGTGTGGCTGGAGTCCACAGCGCTCATCACCAGCAATTAGCACCAGCGAGTTGTAAGGATGAGGGAGCTAATAACATTTTAGCACCTCTTTCCCCTCTCCTCCCGTACATTCACAACTGGTTAAAGAACAGTGTCCGAGTGAAGAGGTGCTTTTTTCTCTCTTTCTTTTCTTTTCTTTTTCTTTTTTTGCACATATACAGCTTCCAAATGGCTGGCGTGGGAGGGTTGCCCTGCCTTTGAAGGGAGGTTAGTTTTATTGCAAGGTTTTATTGACTTCTGTAAAACTTCTCACCTCTTGGTAGAAGAGAATGTCCAGAAAAGAGGGGAGGTGGCAGCTCTCAGGCAGTGAATTGCTCATTTCCAGGCAGCCACCCTGAGTGCAGCACAATGACCTGCCAGCCCTGGTTTGTGGGGAGAAGGCTGCGGGAATCTGCTCTAAGGAAACCCCTGGAATGTTTTACCCGGGTTTGCAAATGCCATGTGCAAGGAAAAACGCGTGTGCCGCAATGCATAGGTCTGTTGGCATAATAATTCCTGCATGTAATTTTTGGTTTATGCGCTCTTCAGGGCCAAGATCTGGCCCCATGTGTCGAATTATTAAATAGCAAATTAAGTCAGTTAATAGAATTAATTGAATCGATGTAATTCTTTTAATCAGATGGGTTTGAGCCCTTCTCAGATGAATTAGAATCCCTTAATAGATAAGTCAATTATTGGACTAAATTAAATCTAATAATAATGCTCACAACAATGCTAATTAATCTAAATACACTTACCTATCTCCCAAGGTTGGGGCTTTTTTTTAGGCGTAATTGATGTTCCTAAAATGCTGAGATCTTCAGATAACAGATGATCTATGTGAGCAAAATATTATCTCTTAACACACTATAAACTAATTAAAGGACTGATCTATTTACAGATTGCATTTTTACTTTAATCTCTTCAAGCTATTCAGAAAGAGTTTGCACTGGCCCAGAGAAACAATATTCCTGGTGTAAGCTTATTATTACTTTACAGGTTCCTAAGTGGTCCTTTCATTCAGAAAATGAAAGGGGGAAGGAGAAAAAACAACCATTAAAGTGCGGACAAAAAAAAAAAAGAAAAGGACCTGGAACCTTTATATTCTACCTCTGATAAATGGTACAGATAGGGAAGAGAGGGATCAGTGACCTGAAACCTTAGATCCTTTCATTTATTTTCATTTCACAAAAGGCAGAAGACATCCTATCCTGTTTGCTCACCATCTTTGAATGCGGCGCAGTTGGGGAGACAGAGCTCTCTTGGTTGGGTGAAGGCATTTCTTGCCTCATTTGTATTTCACAGCCACGTAATTTTTGTTTTAGTTTATCCCCAGCTACTGCTGTCCTGTGGGGCAATGAGAAGTGATAGCCATCAGGAGAGGTGAGGGGGGCCTGAGGGGGCTTTGGGCTTGCCCTCTCTGCGGAGGTAACTTATCGTGGCAAGTGCTTGGGTGTCCTGAAGGCTGGGGCACGGTACACGTAGGTATATTGTTAGCCTGTATGTTCCAGGTGGCTATCCGGTGGTATTTTGCCCATAGACCTACTCTATCACAGTTTAAACAAAACCTCTGGATCCCCTAGAAGGTTGTAAACCCTCAGTTTTATAGAGCTTCTTGTCTGCAGCATGGCAGGCTTTGTTTGCAGCCACCCTGGGTGAGGGGCAGCACACAGGTATGACATTGCTCCTTCTCATTGTCTTCAGTCTCCCAGGGGATGGACCCTGAGCCAGGCAAGTCCACTTGAAGACTCCCCCTTGAGACCAGTAGGGTTTAGCTCAGGACTGAAGATGTGCTCCTGATCCGGGAGGTTAACAAAGCATGGGTTTGCTAGCGGGGTGTCAACAAATATGGGATCAGGCACACTGAGGAGGAAAGCAAATTCAAGAGGTGGTGTGCATGCAGCATCCAGGCATTACCTCTGCGTCCTATGGGTGTTCCTGGTGCAGGATATCACACCCTGAACAGATGGGCAAGGAACCTGGGGAGACGGATGGCTTCTTCCTGGGGCCACCCCAGCCTGGGTGATGCACTCCACAGCTTGCAGTCCCGCCTGCTGTTCTAGCAGGAGCTTTCCAGAGATGCCAGTGCACAAGCCCATGGAGAGCCCATTACGGCTGTCTAGACATCAGCCACACTGCAGCCCGCCAGAGATTTCATTTGTGGTAGAAGTGGGCTCTGTTCCATGAAGAGGTGTAATATGTGTGGAAAATATTATAGTGAAATAGCCTCCTTTAATTGACTCTAAAGTTTACAGGATTCCTTCCTAGGTTTGGGTAATCCTGTGCTCTCCAGAGTTAATGGCTGACATAGCACTTCTTGGGGCTTGGCAGCCTGACAGCTAATTTAGAACTCCCTAAACTCATTTCACTAATGACTCCCATTTGTTCTATCTCAAAGTGTGGAAACAAATGCAAAATACCAGTGCCATTGTCCCATCTTTAGCAAGTCATTCTTTCCCCTTGGTATTTCTGGCACCTTAACAGCAAGCAGCCTCGGGAAACCTGATTAACCCTTTCCTTTCCTAGAATAGTTAAAAAACAATTTTGATCCCCCTCTTGGGAAGAGTGGGAATT